TCGGTCTTGCCCTCCTCTGCTTCACCACCCTCTCCCTTTCGCTTCAATTCGTAACAAATGGACCGTCAGGTCCCTTTTCATTGCCCATTCACCGATCCAATCATTGCCGCCGGCTCTCACGGCGCTTCATTCCTCGGCATTCCCTTTCTCGGTAAGTTGGTTTTTCTTAATGGCTCGTCTTGCCTGTTTGGTTACTGTGAAAATGCCTGAGAAAGATTTATATTCTATTTCTTGAATCATTAAGAAATGCAGAAAAGTTTGCAGCCAATACCCGACTTAGTTGGGTTTTTAGTTTGATTTTGGGCTGTTTTGTAATCGATCAAACCGGCAATATGAATTAGGGGTTTATATATGGTATTGCATTGATGTGCAATTATATTCTAGTGTTTCGAAGATAAATGGTGTTTTGTTTGTGTATGTTAAGATGGTTCAACTGCGGCATGTTTCGTCGAGGGAACGAAAGAAGAGGAGAAAGCCAATGACTCCAGTCACTTCCAAGTTAAAGAAAACCAAAATGAAGTCTTACTCGTAGGTTTATGTTAACTCAGCCATCATATTGTGTTTTTTCTTTTTCTTTTGGAAATGTTATTACAGTTTTGTCTAACTGTTGGTTTTGAAATTTCATGACCAGGTCTTACAAGTCCAGGTTTAGGACAATGAATGATGGGACCATTCGGCGGTGGAGGGCGGGCAAGCGGCACAATGCCCATTTGAAGGTGTGCTTTGCATTTTGAATTCAAATCTTTGGTTTTGTGTGTACAGTTGGTCAATGCTCATCTAGCAAGTACTAAATTTCAGTCATGTTTCAAATTCTATATGAATGAATGCTTTCCTACAGGCGGGATGGTGAATTTCGGTACACATACAGTACACACAACTACACAAGAAAACTTCTTTGGCGACATTTTCTTTTTGGGACAATTTCTGGGCTAATTTAGACTTGTAATTCTCTGGAAATGGTTTGGTGATGCATGTATTGGTGCAACTTGAACGGGCTCAGCCTGAACTCCATGAAGCCAATTCAAACTTTCTGCCCATATAGACAGGTTCAAAATAGCTCAGGTTGAGTTTGTGTTGAGAAAATACAAACCTGATAAATTTTGAGTTGAACACAAAATTAATCACCCAACATCTAAACTTGAATTCCAACGAATTACTGATAAACTACTACAGGGCCTTGTGAACAGTATCTTAACTACTGAAGGGCTGTATTGTTATTGTTCCTTAAAGTTAAATAGTAACAAAAATACTTTCATCCACGAGGAGGGAGATTGGAAGGGTTAATGATAAACTTTTTGTGGGAAGGGATGACGGAAGGAAAGAAGGATCACTTAGTAATGGAATGAGGTGGCTTGAGGTAAGGCAAAGGGAGCTTAAGGGTATGAAACATTGTAAAGAGGAATGAAGTTTTTCTTGGGATGTGGTTGTGGAAATTCCAGACATAGTTAAATTCCTTTTGGGATGGGCTGCACCTGCATGAGAAATGTCTGGAATCCCAAGGTCGCAGCCAGTGGTTCAAGTCAATGCTCGTGAACTAATATTTCTAAATTGATTGTTGTTTTTGCTTCTTGTTGTCATTTTGGGGTGAGGAATGGGGATCCAGGTATGATTTTTAGGGGGATCAGAATTACGTACCCTTTATAGTCATCTTTATAGATTGACCTGATATCTTAATCATCCCATTGCTATCAGTCTTCTTTACCTCTTTGTTGGAATGTTTGGCTTCAATGTAATTTCAGTGAGCAGGAAGTGAAAGATTTCCTGTCTTTTCTGTCAGATCTGGAGTCTGTCTTGCTTGTCTCAAGTAGATCCAATTCCTGAACCTAGCATCAATTTCTCTCCATCAGTCGAGGCCCTTGTGTCCTTTCCATATAAACCACCCAAATCAAAGCCATTACTAAACAACCCCACACAACTTGGAGCTTCTTACCCATCCACACCATTTTATGGGTCTCGTAGAGAAAGGAAAGGCAAACACTTGCAATGACCCAACTTATTCATCTCCCTGAACAGCTATTTTTGTGTAACCATAGGAAGACATACTGATATCCGATTTACCTGAATATATTGATACTAACAGCCTGCATGGCCTAGATTTTTCTTCATTTTCTGAAACGGCGTACATATTAAAAATGGTGGCTCATTATCATTGAGGGCCAGTGTCATGGCACCTCTTGTACATGGCTAGAGCATTCCAGAGACATAATCTTGGGCTATGATAGAGGATAATTTTATTATAATGAGGTTATGGCTGCTATATTAGTTAGTATGTAATTTCATATCTTGGTTTCGTAGTTATTTGGTATCTTTCTTCTCATTGGCATGTAATGTGCAAAGGAGATGCTGATTGTTTCAATCATCTAAGGCTCCATTGTCCACTTGTGTATCCTTTATGGACAAGGCTGTTCACAGAGACCATTTTGAATTGGGCTATCTGTGAATCTTGTGTTGAATTACTTTGTGAGAAGCCCAAGTCTTTTGGAGGAAATAAAAGGGGCATGATGCTGGATATGTGCTGTTCTGAAAATATTTTGTGTTGTTTGGATGTAGAGAATTTGGAGATTGTTTGAAAGTGCTAAGGGGGAGGATGAGTTTGTTTCTAGGCATCCTATCAGTTCTTGGGGTGCTGTTGTTAGTTAGTTTTGTTTGCATTGGGTTCAGATGAAAGTGCTGAGACCCAATTGCTGTCTTTCCCCTTGTTGGTGTATTATGGGTAAGATGAAAGAAGAAAATGTTGATCCTCTATTTGTTTGCTGGCCAGTAGCTCTAATTTGTGACACTCATTACTCGAGGAGGCAGGGGTGAGTTTAGTAATCCCAGAAGGGTGCGACAAATTGCTTAGTTAAAGATTACTGGGTTCGGCAAAGGAAAAAAGGCCTAAGTGTTATGGGGCTTTTGTAGGATGGTTTTATATGGATTATTTGATGGAGAGGAATAGAAGGATTTTGAACGATAAATAAGGGGGTGGGGTAGAAGAGCTTTGGGAAGGGGTGAGGTTTTGGCCTTCGCTTTGGGCTTTGGTATTCACTTTCGTCTCTCTTGCTAGATTGGAAGGCAGTTATAGGATGATGTTACTTTCATAGCTTTTATTTATGTGGCTCTTGTAGATCTTTGTTAATTTCCTTATGCTATGTTAAGAAGAGGGACTTTCAATATCCCAAAAAACTTTAGACTTTATTCTTAAAGAAGCACTACAAGAAGTGAAATGCTCAAACACTACAATGCACTACAAAGACTCCAAACAAATGAATTTCAAAATGACACCTTCCTTCAAATCTCAAAGAAAAAAGAAATCATGAAAAGACCAATCCAATCTCAAGAAAATAGCATGAAAAGACCAATCCCTGAAAAAATCAGAGAAAAAAACTAAAAAATAAAATCCATCTATTGCTTTCCAGCGAAACCACCATGACAATTTCTGAAACAGCATGCCCCTAGCACCAAACCCCTTTCCTACCTCCAAAAAACTTTTAACTTTTCACATAAGAGGCATCGCAAGAGGCTGGAATTGACAAACTCAAAGCTTTTCTAGCAAACATTATCCTCAAGAAATATGCAACTGGACATTGAAACATTAAAATGGTTCAAAATTCTGCGTTAATTCTCCGCTAGTTTAATACCGGTAAGTTGGAGATGCAATAACGCAAGCTAATACCTTTACCTTGGGTTAAACTTTAGCCTTCCAAATTGCTTGAGAGGGACCAAAAAGGAGAAAGACAAGAATCATCCAGTAATCGCCTTGAGAAGGATTTGCAATAGAAAACTCGTGATGGCTTCAACTTGCAATATAGGTGGCCAATCATCTTGGTTTCTCATTTGTCATATATTCATATAGATACATGCACTATATGTGTCCATGTGTGTGTTTTTATGTGTTAGTTCAGGTGTGTCCCAAAGCATTAGACGGATGTTTTCATATTGCTTATTCACATTTTGGGTTCCTGCAAAGTTTTCTACATATAACAAGGAAGAGAGTTGTTTGAATGACTGCTCCAGTATGATCTACTGAAACCTATAAGTCATGACGTCACATGCAGAAGAAGTGAATCCTTTTCACTATTTTTGTTACTTGAAGTGGTAACCAGCAAGTTTGAAGTTCAATTACCTACTGAAAATTCCCTTTCAACCAGTTTTCATAATCTGTTTCCATTTGCCTAGCTCCTCTGTCGGTGAAGCAACATGAACGAGTATGTATGCTTGTCCATTGCTCTATTAGTGCAGCTAAATCTCTTATTGGTGTCTTGACCTGCTTGATCAGACTTCAGTTCCTTTTATTGCAAATGTTCCGTTTTTCTCCTTACAATGGTGCATTCATAATATTTATTTTATTTTTGGTCTGGGGTGCATTCATGATTTGAGAATGGTTTTAGTAGACCAGAACTCTAGACGTACCAATTTGCTCCTGAAATTAATGAAATTTTATATCTATTGCAGTCAAAGATATCTAAGCGTAGACTCAGACTACCTGCCCTTGTCCATCCTGCTTACGCTACAGTGATGAAGAAGCTCAATTTTTGCGGTTAAAAGTTTTGATCTGGTAGGTGCTGCCGGTAGTTTCCGTTTCTGATTCCTTTGAACAAGCAGTGCTTCAGTAGCTAGATTCTTTTAACTATTGGCAAGTTCAGTTTGAGGCTATAGCTGATTTGCTGATGAGAACAACATGCTATATTTGTCTTTTTAAACTTGTATTCCGTGGCTTGCTGAGGAATTTTTTATGAGAGTTTTGCAGTACTGGGACGTATCAGAAAGACATAACAACTTTGTCGACGTGACTCAAGCTTCAAATATTGATCGATTAGCCGTTTTGGAGCATTTGTATAATAATTTTCCTTTCATTTGTGATTTCTTGCAACACTCGTACTATAAAATTGCAGCATTTGTGTTCTGCAACCTCTTGCAGCACTTTGTACTCGAAGCTTTTCCCATACTTAAGTCAAATGTATCATTGAAATGGAGTTCGTCGGTCGAAAACGGTCAAACAGAATGCCAAAAGAACCGAGTACATGAATGAAAATTTAAAGAAAATAATTTCTTCACATCCCTATTTTTTCCTAGAGCTCGACTTAAATGGCATGCAGAAGGTGAATATGGCGTAGAAAAACATTACATCCGACGTATTTCATTATTTTCATGTGACTACGTCTGGAGCTGCCATAGTTTAGTGTACAGCTGCTGGTTCTTGTGTCTCATAGGCAGCCTCAAGGCCACTTACAGGCGAGCCTCCTCGCTCGCTGTCGTGCCTCACATGGCCGGCAGCTTTGGCTCCTCCATAATCGCTGACGTTCCCAAAAATCAGAATCACCACTCCACACACAGTGGTTAAAAATGACAGCCCGAAAGAAGTGAACAGGTTTCCTGGGACTGCCGTTGCCAATGCGAAGCCAGCACATGTGCCAAGAGCTTTGATCCAGGAATGCCATGTAGAGAAAGCGCCTTCTTTCCCTGGCGGCGAACAATCCATCAGCAGAACCCGTCCAAAGGCGTGCAAAAGCCCCGCGGACGTGCTTTGAACCGCACCGAAGAACAGGACATGACGATGCCCCCAAAGTGAGTTCCGGAAATAGAATCCGGACCCGGAAGTGAGTGCTGATAGGAAGAAACCCATGAGTTGCATTTTGATGGCGTCCGCCTTGATGAGATGCTGCAGTGGTTGTAACATTGGGAGAGAAATCAAAGGGAAGATGAAGTAAGTTAGGAAAAAATATAGCAATGCTTTTGGATCATAGCAAAGCTGCCCAACTAGGTAAAGCACTCCCCCTGAGAAAATACACATTGATGTGAACGAGGAGAGGAAAGTTCCCATTAGTCCTCCAACTGCATGAGGAAACTTGAAGACTGAAAGTGCATGGGACTTTGAGATAGGTGGATTCACACAGGGCCTATTAGTCACAAAGAAATGGAATATCCCAGTTAACCATATGATCCCACTGAAGATTGACACAATCCAAAGCCCTAGTAACTCTTCATCTTCCCTAAGCATGTGGTAAGTGAAGGATGAGAAGACGGCGGAGCCTAATGAGCCCGCCGCGGCTGCGTAGAGCGAAAGCCAGGCGGAGACTGCTCTTCGGGCTTGGAATTGGGATTTTCGGATAGTGGGTCCCGTGAAACCGCGGACCAATAGGCCGAGGTGGCGGGTGTGGCAGGCGGTGGCAATGACGTTGGCACAAACTATGGTGGCAATGTATGGTGGAAAGAGCCAGATGTTTCGGAAAAAGCCAGCTGGAAGACAGAAGATGGACCCGATGGCTGCTGCGGCGCCGGCAACGAGGGTTTGCTTGTAGCCATGGTCAAGGATGATGGAGACAAAGTGAAGGAGTGGAGCAGCTAGAGCTAGACCTATACCCCATGAAATTGAAGTCCACTCTAGAGGTGAGTATTTGGAGAGTAATGACCTGTTTGTGAGTCTAAGGTACCTGCAAATATTAAACAACCATATATTTCAAATTAAACAAATAAGGACACATCAGTAGCTAGTTTTGATTTTTCTTGTATTAAGTCATCTCCATAAGCCGAAGGGGTAAAAATAATTAACTTCTTACGACACTATAAATGGAAAGTGCAAGATAAACGCAATTGTATTATTAATCTGGTTTAGTTTAAATAGATTGAGATGAAAGATTATAGCTCAAGTGGTTAAGAGTAATTATTTTTGTACTCAAAGTTTTACATTTGAATATTGGTCTCTGAGATTGACATAACTATTTACTTTGAATTCTGAGATTTGAAATCGATAGAAGTGGTTATTGAGTTTGTCCACATCAATCATTTTGGTCACAGAAGGATCAAAACAATTGATGATGGGCAAACTCAGGGACAACTATTATCGATTTCAAATCTAAGAGACCAAAGTGAGGAGTTATGTCAATCTCAGAGACCATTTTGAATAAAAAGTCTATATTTAATTAATGAACTAATCTCAGAGACCATTTTTAATTCTCGTGAAAAGCGAATTTGAACCACATTATTGTTAACTCATTGTGTGGCTTAGCTTACTCCCCTCATATTTAGTGTAAATAATATCGTTTGTTAAAAAAAAATTAACTAACTAATCTCTCTTTAAGCACGAGTAGATTTCTTTTTATATTGTCCGTATGTTGGTTTCAATTCATAGTTTATATAAACTCAAATTCTTGAGAGGCTCATAACTAGGGATGGACAAAATACAGACGGATATAGGTAACCGCGGTTATCCGCCTATTTAATGGGTAACTGTTTAAACAAATAAACGGTTATAGCTGTAACCGTTTGCCTGTAAATTTTAAATGGATGGTTATGGATACCCGCAGTATAAATAGTACCTGTTTAATCGTTTATATTAATATATGTAAAATAAAAATAAAACAACTAAAAGCACTAAAATTATTCGACCTCTCCCAGACTTCCGCCGCTCATCTTTCTCTCTTCGTTGCCCTCTCTCATCTTCGGCTCTCTCTCTCTCTCTCTCATCTCCGGCAAGTTGCAAAAACGAAAAACAAAACAAAAACCCTAAAACTTTATTGCTATTGTCTGTTTGCTCTGTCGCTCAGATTTAGTGCTTTTGGTTCCTCAAATTGCAAGACAAAAGAATTTCATTGGATTTGTGGCTGTGGACTTTTGCATGACTTGGTTGGTAGCTCAAGTTTTCCATATGTTTCATGCCCACATAATGCTGAGACACTTATTATTTCAATTATTGGTAAATATATTATATTGCCTTGATTGATAACACCTAAAAATATCATCCGTAAATTATTATTTTAATTATTGAAATGGTATGAGGACTTAAAAGATTGAAATACGGAAATGCATGTTAAATGTACCTATAATGGTATTTAATTGTCAAAAAAAATAAAATTATGACAAATTCTTTTTTAAATTTCAAGTTGATAAAAAATCGTGTCAACGGGTAAAATGGGTAAACAGATAAAAAAAGAGAGGGTAAAGGGTTAAAAAATGGTAAATGGGTATGCTGTTGCGGTTAAATGAGTACGCGACTATAGGTATAACTAACCGTTTATAAATGGTTATGGGTATGTAAATAACTATTTATGCAATGACTTAACGGGTAAACAATTATGCGGGCAAAAGCTTAAACGATTATGGGTATATAACTGCGGTTATCCGCCTGCCATAACCATGTCTATCCCTACTCAATCATAAGTTTGGAGGGTGACTACCTAAACTAAATAAGTATTAAGGCTAGTAATGCTAAAACAAATTATAATTATATAATTAGACTCTACTTTCCATGTTAATTGTCAGACAAATATCAATAAATAGTGAAAATTATGGTTTCATACATATACGAGGAGCTAGACATCAATGTCAATTATAGAGCTCCAAATATACATAGATGATATCATGTGGCACATGCATGCACTTACAGTATGGTTTCCTTGTGAGTGCAAGCGGCCACGCCCTTGTACTTGCGGGCTAACCCCACCCCAGACCCAGAGTCGCGTGCGGCGTCTCCGATTTGGGTAATGATGAGAGGGAAGACGATCGGGATAAGAACAAGATGAATGAAGTGGGAGCACAACTCATAAAAATACCAACTCAAAATCTCCACCTTGTTAGGCTTCTCTTCAAACCCTGCATATACTTTGTATGCATCCCTTGCCCTCTCAATTTTCATGCCCGCCCCATGCACATCTGGAGTAGTAATATCATCACCCGCTAAATACGCAATTTCGACCGCTGCTGATCTGATCAACTCTTGCTGCACAGTACTAGTTTCAACTTCAGGACTACTCAGTGGTTCGGCCATTTTAGCTAGTCTTCAAGCTTTGAATCAAGGGACTGTATGTACATATGTGTGTGTATGTGTGTATATATATTTGTTCACGAGGAGGGCGATGGAGACGTGTAAAGATACTTGGCGACGGAGGCGAGTAACCAGCTGGTTGCGGAAAATCCCAAGGGCTTCAGAACCCTCGGTATGTCCATATGCAAACGTCAATATATAGAGGAGCGAGAAGTATATATACTGACATTATTCTCAACTCTAGTGTCTTTTTATGGTCCTATTAATCTATGGCACAACAAACCAAAGGAAATCTGTCATGCAACAACATGCCACTGTACTTAATATTTATGCGAGTAGTTGTTTTGACTGGGCAGTTGAAATTGTAAATTTTATATTGGCAATTTCGTATAATGCATATTCGAGTTGCAATCCGTTATTAGCCTTAAGTTTCCTATAATAATTAGGTTTAAGTTAAGAATCTATTTGTACTTCCTTCTAGTCCTTCTAATTAGGGATTAAGTTTTTGTTTGCGCCGAAATTTTGGGTCAAGGAGAGATAACTCGTGTTAGAGGTTATCAGGGCCCGCGTGGAGCCAATTTCATTAGGCACAGATACAATCAAGGCCGTGGTGGTCAGCACCGATTCAACCAAGGTCGCGGTGGTTTTTGGTGCAATTTTTGCAACTCTCCCGGCCACCGTATCTCTGCTTGTCCTCATCTTGCTCCTCCGGTTACATAATAACGGTGCCGCACTTCATGACCCGTCTCCCTACACTGGTAACAAATCTGTTCTCGTTGGTAACGGGGCTTCTATTCCTATTACCCACATGCTCTCTTCCTCTTTAGGTTCTCGTCAGCTCACATTGAATAATGTCTTACATGTTCCATCTCTTAAGAAAAATCTTTTGTCTGCTTCTCAGTTTAGTAAAGTTAATTTCGTACATGTTACTATTCATCATTTTGGTCAAGTAGTTTTTTTATTTTTACACTAGTTTTCTGTTGTTTCAGGGATCCTATAAGGGTCACCTATACTCCGTCTCGTCCCCCCATCTTCTCTGCTGTCTCTTCCTCCTTGTGGCACTCTCGTCTTGGTCATCCGTCTTCTGAAGTTTTCTCTAAATTATCTTTAGGTTCTTTATCTACCTTAAGTAAGGCGTTTTGTAAGCCGTGTGCACTTTCCAAGTCACACAAACTACCTTTCAATTCTAATAATAGAAAACTAGATTTTAATCCTTAAATAAGATGAAGTTTAGAAAAAATGTCTTATACAAGATTAAAATTTGATTTTAGTCCCTAAACTCTATTTAATGCCAGCATATTAAATGTGTGACAGCTCGCCCCTAATTTTACGATTTTATGAATTTTAAAGGCATGATTTTACGAAAGTGCCCTTAGAGGCAAGGGTTTTGATTTTTGTTGATCAGTGTATAGTGAGGTGTATGAAATTTTGCTTTAGCGTATCCCTGAAGTATTCGACAGCGTGCGCTTGTAGACGCAAGCAGAAGAGGATTTGGAGTTACGGTTAAAGTTCTACAGAACTCTAAACCGAGAAGTACTTTTATTTTGGTTACTATTTATATATATATTTTTATATGTATATATTGAGAAGTATTATTATTTTATTAGTTGTTGTTAGAATTAGGGGAAAAAGAAAGATGAAGGTGTCAGGAGGAGGAAAAAACAGAGAAGGAAAGAGAATGGGCAGAGCTGCCCAATCGGAACAGGAGAGAGGAAGGTGTTGGGCCAACCACAAAGAAGAGAGAAGTGAGGGACGAATCAGAGAAGGGAAAGGAGGGGAAAGGAGGAAGGAAAGAAGGAGAGGAACAGGCCGGGTTCCCTTTCGACCCGCGCGACCCGTTTCAAAACCCGGCCCGTTTCAAAACCCGGCCACCCCATGTGATTTTTCGATGGTTTTGCACCATTCTTCCGGCGAATTCCAGCCACCCACCACCTGGAATCAACTCAGCATCATCTCCTCTTCCATATTCAGCCATAAATCTACACGAATTGATCACGTTTTCGTGAGATAGCACCGGAAGGGTGCACGTTGTATGGTGGTGAAATCCATCATTTATGAAATGAATTTCCTCGATCTCCACCACCATTAGACTTCCCTTGAGCCCTTGAACGGAGTCCAATCAGTTATAGGGGCGGTGGAACACCGAGGAGAGAGAATTGAAGCCACCCAAATACTAGGGTTTTCCAATGGGTTTGATGAAATTAGGGCCTTTCCAGGCCAAATTGGCCTTGGCAGCAGGTATAAAGTTTGCTCTATTCTTTGAGATTTTCATTTCTATAATTTTTGAGAATTTTTAGAAATAGTTGAATTTTCCGGTGAGCGGGGGCGGCCGACCACCAACTGCGACGGCTGGTGCAGAGGCGTGTGGCCAGGGGGCCGTCAATGTTATTCTTAGGCTAATTAAATGCCTTGAGTTCTATTTATACCATACTAAGGGCCTCCGTATTTAGACCTCGTATAATACTCGGTGGACTCAAATGTAATTATGTAATAAAAGAAGGGGCAAATATGTAATAAGTGAGGAGCCCTTATTCTATAAAAGGGACTCCTCATCCTCACAATGGGGGCAAGCCTCACATCCCCTCTCATATTCAGAGCTAGGCTCTCACTCTCACATTATAGAGGCTCTCTCCCTCACAATCATTTCAGAGAAATACAATATCAGTGTGGACGTAGCCCAAACATTGGGGTGAACCACGATACATCTTGTGTTATTTACTTTATTGCAGATTCACGGTCGGATTTACGTTGTTCCAAGACCCTTCCGGTTTTGTGCATCAACATTTGGCGCCATCTGTGGGAAATCGACACAAAAAGGCTATGCGCCGTCTGTGGGAAATCGACACAAAAAGGCTATATCGTTTCTTTTTCATTTTTTTCACCTCCGCCGTGAATCTGCAAAACCTACAGACACACAGACACACACACTCTCTTTCTCATCACTCGGTTTTTTTACTTCTGTAAACATCAAGGGCCAGAGAAAAAGAAAAAACCCCAACTGAGACATAAGGAGATACAAGGAGAAGGATGAGGGAGAAGAAAATCCAAGCCGAACCAAAGCTAGAGAGAGAAAGTAAGCTCAGAACCCCTTGGCAGTGCTCTGCACCTGCCACCAACAACTCCTCCGGTGGTAACCTCTCATCAGATTGGGCAGCCCAGTTCAAGCTCTGCAACTGCGAAAGTCCTGTCTTGTCAACCAGCTAGTGACACCGACACCTGTCAACAACCCTATAGAGGGTCAAGTCACATCGACACCTCCTGCGGCCTCTCCATCCCAATCAGTCTTACCTCCTACCAACCCAAAGGGAATTGCTTTTGACTTCTTTGGACAAATTCGAGATCCAGATCCTATCTACAAATTCGAGATCCAGATCCCATCTACAAACCTAAAGGGGATTCACGTTCACCGACACCCCTGTCCTTCTCCTCCTCTTCTCCTTTCCTTATTTCTCTTTCGTACAAATGGCTGCAACCACCTCACCAAAAGTGTTACTCGAAGTCTTTCCATACCTCCAGGTCCTCAAAGATGGCACAATCGACAGACTCACCGGAACCCAAGTCGCTCCTCCCGGCTTAGACCCCGAAACCGGAGTTTTATCCAAAAACATCGTCATCTTACCCCAAACCGGCGTCTCAGCCCAACTGTACCGACCCATCACCACCAAACTTGGCACAAAACTCCCCCTAGTCGTATACCTCCATGGTGGCGCCTTCTGCATATCCTCAGCCACCGACCCGTATTACCACACCAGCCTCAACAACCTTGTTGCAGAAGCCAACGCCATCGCAATTTTAGTAAATTATAGATTAGCCCCTGAGTACCCGCTCCCCATTGCCTATGAAGACTGCTGGGCAGCCTCCAACTGGGTTATTAACGGCGACGAAGATCGTGATTCGGGGGTCAAGGACGACGTCGATTTCAGCCGCGTGTTTTTGGTCGGAGACAGTGCATGAGCCAACATTGCACACCACTTGGCCTTACGGATCTAGGATAGAGACAAAGGTGCAGTGGAAAGTGAAAAGAAAAAGGAAAAGAGAAAAGAAGAAAAGCAAAAGATAAGCTTCCTATTATTATGATTCCTTTTGTCTGCCAGGTGAAGAGACAGAGAGAGTGCGATGGAAAGCAAAAGCAAAAAAAAAAAAAAAAAAAAAAAAAAAACGCAAACACAAAAGCAAAAGAAAAAACAAAAGCAAAAGAAGATAAAAAAAAAACGCAAACATAATTGCGGTGGTGATGGCATTATGGGGGTGACCCATTGAGCAAAGGGTTGGATTTATTTTTGAATGATGTGATTTATTTTTCTTATCTTTCGGAGACATTTGTATAAACCCCATCAGAGGGTAATAAAAAAATAAAAAAAAAAGGGCAAGCCCAAAATAATGTGTTGGATTGTTAGGGGGAGGGCCAAGGCCCATATGCCCAAAAGAGCCACGCCCTATGGCTCCAAAATTATTCGGCGCCCTGCCGCTATTATTACCAACCAGGTGATCACAAGTACGTCCAGTACTCCAACATTATTCGGCAACTTGCCGCTATTATCACCAATCAGGTGATCAAAAGTACGCCTAGTACTCCAAAATTATTCGGCAGTCTGCCGCTATTATCACCAACCAGGTGATCAAAAGTACGCCCAGTACTCCAAAATTATTCAGCAGCCTGCTGCTATTAACACCCACCAGGTGATCAAAAGTACGTCTAGTACTCCAAAATTATATATGAGCATCACTCATGTCAATCATACATAAACATTCATGAGCATCACTCACGACAATCATACATAAACATTCATGACCATCATTCATGTCAACATTCATGAGCATCACTCATGTCAACATTCATGAGCATCACTCATGTCAACATCCATAAGCATCACTCATGTCAATCAACATAAACATTCATGAGCATCACTCATGTCAATCTAGCTTCAAAAGCTTCATTTACAAAGCTCTAGCTTCGAAAGCTTCATTTACAGAGCTCTGGCTTCAAAGCTTCACTTGCAAAGCTTCACCTACAAAGCTTCAGTGTAGGGT